CAGTACACAGAATCATAATGTCAACCCTCTTCAAAATCACGATATCACCAGTGAAACACACGACGACATTTGGAAGTGCTTCGATGACATAGTAAACAATTCAAATTCGGACAACGATAATAGTAGTTTTGAGGATTCATCAAGCCAGACATCATTTAAAAGACAACCGACTGATAGAACTAACAAGAAAACTGCAGTTTACAATGTCGAGTTAACGAAATACCTGACACTACCTCTATCACCGAGAAATGAGGATCCCTTAACATGGTGGAAAACACATGTTTTGGAATATCCTAATCTCAAAACTTTGGTTTTGAAATACTTAAGTGCTCCACCCACTTCCGTGCATTCAGAAAGACTTTTCAGTGCAGGAAAATTGGTTTATTCCGATAATAGAAATAGATTATCACCGCAAAACGCTGAAATATTATTGTTTATTATGAAAAATTTACTAATACTAAACTATGATTACTAATATCGACACTAGTATAAGAGAAATGCTAATAAATCACAATAAATAAATCTGCTTACTTTTCATAATTTTTGTTTTGTCATTCATTGTCAGTGCTGCAATTTCCGTTAATTAAATTTATAATTTTTAGAGCACTATTTAATACTATCAGATACAACTGTCTATAATTTTTAATTAAAATGACTTATTACAAAAAATATTGTTTTAGCCAGGATCATCTTGGCTGAAGTATTATTTTTCCCAATAATATAGAAGTCCACTTTAATGTTAATAATTATTCCCATTATTCAATACTGACCATTGTGGCTATTTATTGTTTGCTCCAAAACTCTAAAATTTATTAAAACTTTTTACTTCATTTCATAGAGATTTAATTTCATTAATAAAAAAAATGAAATTATTTTGATAAGCGCTCTGATCAAGGACGTAATTTCATGTATATACAAGTTCGTCTGAATCAAATACTATGTTCAAAAGATAGGTGCTCCGCAGCTGCAACATTCGACACTTCAAACTTCCAATAATTACAACTTGTTGTGCCCTGATTGCATAAAGAGGTAATGAGGGTACTCGAACAAGCAATGTAAGCATTGTAATTGTAATAAGAATAATAGCGTAAGCCAAAAGATTGCGCGATCGAGCCACAAAGGCCCGAACGCGCAACTTAATTAAATTCGAAGAAGAAGTCAGCAAGTTCTCGACCCGATTACATATAACCTCGATCGAGGACCGAGAACGCTGACGACTCGATCATCGGGCTTAAAACCAGAGGAACGCCCGAGATCGAGGCACTTGTCACTATCGCGTTATACGATAACCTACTATACGCGTTAAACACTTGTCCGTCAGGCCTTCGGCCTGCCGTCAACGAATCTTGTAAAACTCAGTTAAATAAAGTTAATCTGTGAGATCCAACGATGCCTTCTTGAAGTGACCTCCGACCAGCCACATCCCATCAAAGAATCCTTTCGGTTCTCGTAAGAGAACACCTCCGGAGCGAGTAAGAAAAAAACTACACCGCGCACGGAGCGGCGCGGCAACAAAATTGGTGACAGCGGTGGGACCACCGCAACAAACTTATATATGTACTATAATTTTGTAACGATGCACCAAGTATGCACCGTTCCCGGTTCGAAACCGGATGCCGCCGAACACCAGGCGAAGGGTGGGTGCCCGCGGCGCCCACCGCCAAAGCGCGCACACGACGGGCCGACCGTCCACGGGGACGGCCGAGCGGCCCGGCGAGACACGCGGGTCGCCCCGTCGCACGACCGCGCAAGCGCACGAACACGCTACCCCGACCCGTCTACCCCCCACCAGCCGAATATTGCTACCCAGCAAACACAGAATATAAATGTTATATAACCTAGGAGTAACATGTAATATAACAGATGTTACACTGTGTTTATATTACAGCTACATAACTTAACATTATATGTGCAATATACCAAAGTTCTGAAACTATTACATTATTCCGTTATTTTTATGTTATAATAAACGAACAGTAATGTAACTGCAATGTCACGGGTTATATAACAATTGTTATGTTAATATTATATTCATGTAATATAACTTGAATTACGCGGGACTCTAACCTAGTTCCACACAGCAACCGCAAGCTACGTCGCGCGCGGCGCGCTACTTGCTTCCGTTTCCGTTTTCCGGATACGTGCTTGTTCTTTTCTCATGGCGTCCTGTGGCTGTAAGCAACGTGAAGCACCAGTTCCGTGAGTTCCGTCTGAGCCGTCGAGCTTATATATGTTCTGTGCGTCAAGCGGTTCACGCGTCTTCCGACGGGGGATGGGTTTTTGATCCTGCGGGATTGCATCGTCCCGCGTGTGGCCCGGTTGCCGGGCCGTTGCATCGTTCAATTCGCTACATTCCAGGCGGTGCCATTGGGTCTATTGGTTCGACGTGGCCGTGTCGGCTCAGTGTCTGTGAGCCGGGAGCCAATAACCAGAGAAGAAGAAGAACGTGAAGCACCAAGTTCCGTTCGGGACGTTGGGCGAGCCGCACGTCTTCCGACTGGGAAGAGAGATTTTTGATCCTGCGGGATTGCATCATCCCGCGGACTTAAAACATTGGAGGACGATTGGTTAGACGTGGCCGTGTCGGCTCAGCGATTGAGCCGGGAGCCATTGGATAGAGAGAGGGAGGGAGAGAGAACGTGAAGCACC